TTTATTTTTTGTGTCTCTTCTCCAGTAAATTGATTGCTTCCAGTAAATTATCATTTTCAAAAATAAAAAATAAATTTATCTCCTCAAAGTACATAATTTCCCTGACAATCCATTTGCTTATTATTTTCACAGTAAATTTCTTGGTAGTATATTTTAACAATATCTGATACTTCTCAGTACAACTCTACTATTTATTTAAGAGTCAGTGAATTAAAATTGAATTTACTTTGTTCCAAATTGATCACCATCTTGATCTTAAAAATTGAACATAAAAACTTAGTGCAGTGGTGCATACCTATAATCCCAACAACTCTGGAGGTGGCTGCAAGAGTTTTGCAAGTTTGAAGCCAACCTCATCAATTTAGTGAGACTCTCAGCAACTTAGGAAGACCCTGTCTCAAAATAAAAAAAAAAATAAAAAGGACTAGGGATGTAGCTCAGTGGCAAAGCATATCTGTGTTCTATCATTTTTAAACTGGCCTCCACAAAAAAAGATTGAAAATAAAAACTTTCCTTCATTTCCAAGTGTTGCTTATTAAGAGGTTAGAAAATGAGTTTGACTAGATTTCGCTTTGACTAAATTTCCCTAGCTGATAGTTGTTTTCTTAATTTTAATAGCATGGCATTAAAAATTATATTGCTGGTTCCCTTTTGATAGCCTTCTCTCATCTTTAGTAAAAGTAAATTAGTATACATTGAATAAAATCTTTTTTTCCCCCAAATTGCTGAACTAAATTCTCCAGTTTTCATGATTAGAAAGGGATGTGTAATTATTGTCACTGTTATTTTATTTTTTAAAAAATAAATTACAGCGGAATGCATTACAATTCATATTACACATATACAGCACAATTTTTCATATCTGGTTGTATATAAAGTATGTTGAGACCAATTTGTGTCTTCATACATGTACCTTGGATTATGATGTCTATCACATTCTACCATCCTTGCTGACCCCCTCCTTTTCTCTCCCATCCCTCCCTTCCCTCCCACCCCTCTGCCCTATCTAGAGTTTGTCTGTTCCTCTCATGCTCCCCATCCCTAACTTGCCAAGGCTGGCCCAGAATTTGTCACATCTGTCTCAATATCTTGAGTAGCTGGGATTACATACTTGTACCACCACCCAGGCGATAATATAATTGTAATAGTTTGGATAGTAGTATAAATGGAAAAAAGCATTTAAATATTATTTTATTTTATTATTAACAAAACATTTATGTTCTATTAAATATAACATAATTTTAGTTTTTTAAATTTTTAAAAAATATCTTTATTTTGCTTATTTATTTATTTTACGTGGTGCTGAGGATCGTACCCAGTGCCTCACAAGTGCTCTGCCACTGAGCCACAACCCCAGCTCTTAGTTTTTGGGTTTTTTTTTGTTGTTGTTGTTGTTTGTTTTTTTAATACATCTGGACACGTGTTTGAATCATCATCAGCAAGCCACAATATAATCTGAAAATTGAAATTTTCTTTGAACATTTTCATACTACTTTAGACTTCTTTCGTCTTTGTACTGAATAATTTTAAAAAATCTTATTTGTAACTTTTTTTTTTAAGAGAGAGAGAGAGAATTTTTTAATATTTATTTTTTAGTTTTCGGCAGACACAACATCTTTCTTTGTATGTGGTGCTGAGGATCGAACCCGGGACGATCGCACGCCAGGCGACCACGCTATCGCGTGAGCCACATCCCCAGCCCCATTTGTAACTTTTTTTATGGTAACTTTAGCTTCTTGTTTATTTTTACAAATGTAGTAGCCAGTCCTTACAACATAAATTGTAGTGATTACAAAGCGACCTCAATGTAGCAGGTATTTTTCATGTAATGTCCATGAAAGTTTTTTACAAAGTAAATAAAGCAAAAAGTAGTCTTCTTGAACAAAGATAATAGACAGTAAAATAGTTTTTTTTTGTATTTTTTAAGCTTCCTTCTTGTTGTATCTTATATCTGATTGATTCTGAATAATGCTTCTGAACTCTTACTTCTGGAAAGTGGACATGACTCTTTATCCTGCTGTTACCTTGCCAAAATGGATTTCACTTAATCTTTGCTCCTTTGAGTTTTGACTTTTTCTGTTAAAGTTCAAAATGGACATATCTGATTAGCAAACTCATTAGCTATAAGGCTGACTGATATTTCTTGTGTTAAGCCTCCATGACTTTCCTATATGAATTCTAGTTTCATAGATTTTTTTATGCCTACTTGATATTTCCTTTTCATATTTTGTAGTCTCTCAAATTTTATGTATTTCTAAAAGATTTATTGATTTCCCCAATTCATTTCTTCTATAGTCATTGTAGTGTTCTGTATCACTGACTCCATTGCTGTTGTGTACATCTTGATCCCACATTTCTCTTATTCTCCACATGTACTCTATCACCAAGTCCCCTTTACTTTATGTCTGATATAGTTCCCAGATCTCTCCATTTCACTGATAAAGATCATTTTATTTAAATTTTTTTGTTGTTGTTGAGCTGGGCATGGTGGCACATGCTTGTGATCCCAGCAGCTTGGGAGGCTAAGGTAGGAGGATCGTGAGTTCAAAGCCAGCCTCAGCAAAAGCTAAGCAACTCACTGGGAACCTCTCTCTAAATAAAGTACAAAATTGGGCTGCGGATGTGGCTCAGTGGTCAAGTGCCCCTGAGTTCAATCCCCAATACCAAAATAAAATAAAATGAAATGAAATAAAATAAAAATAAAAAATTCAGTTATAGATGTACACAATAGCTTTATTTTATTTATTTATTTTTATGTGGTGCTGAGTGTTAAACCCAGTGCCTCACACATGCTAGGCAAGTGCTCTACCACTAAGCTACAACCCCAGCCCCAATAAAGATCATTTTGCCTTGTCCTTTGTAACCTGTAGTAGGTTTTTTGCTTCTATACCTTCCCCCTTTTGAAACATTATCTGTTTGCTCAGTTTTGTTGTAGGTGTTGTTGAGAGGGTTCTAAGAATGTCCATGTATTGGTGTTTATGAAGATAATTCATATAGACCTGAGTCATATATATATATATATATATATATATATATATATATATATATATACTCTTAGTTATATAATTTTCAAGTCCACTTGCCTACTGAAGCAGAGGGAGCTTGGTGACTGACCAAATCCTGTAGTGACATTCATTCGTTGCCCTCCTATTGGTGTCTTTGTCCTCCACATGCAGTTTTTGAAATTTAAGACCGACTGTGGCATTCCACTGCTTAAAAATCTATAGTAAGTGTTGTCCAATAGACCTTTCAGTAGATAGAGATGTTCTCTATATGCACTGTTTCATATGGTAGCTAATAGCCACTGTGACTGTTGAGCACTTGAAGCAACTGGTATAACTGGCCTGAATTTTTATTTTATTTAATTTTAAATAAATTAAAAAAATAAAATAAGTAGCCACATGTGGCTAATGATGTATTGAACAGCACATTTGCATTCCATTCATTCATTCTCTTTTTCTTTTTCTTTCTTTCTTTTTTTTTTTTTTTGCAGTACTGGGAATCAAAACCAGAACCTTGCAAATAGTAGACAAACACTACCACTGCCCCAGCCCACTTTACTTCATTTTTTTTTTTTAACGGGTTTAAACCCAGCAGCTCGTAACCCCTAAGCCACATCCGCCATCCCTTTTCATTTTTTGTTTTGAGTCAGGGTCACTTAAGTTTTTTAGGGTTTACTAACTCACTGAGGGTGCCTGTGAACTTGTGATCCTCCTGCCTTAGCCCCCAAGATACCAGAATTACAGGCATGCACCACCATGCCAGGCTTCCTTTCTGTTTCTTGAAAATATCAGGCTCTTTCTTGACTCAGGGCCTTTGCACTAATGCTCTCTGTCAGGAGTGCTTTTCTCTTAATTTTGAACCTGGTTGACTTTTACATTCTTCAGACTATAGGATAAACCTTACCTCTTAAGATGGACCTCTTCTGCTCAGCCTTCTTCAAATGGCTGTTTGCATGTTAACTTCCCTGCAATATTTCTGCTATGATATAATTAATCATCTTGTTTATTTATTTACTTTAATCACTCCTTCAAAAATGTAAGCCCTGTGATGGTATGAGCCTTAATTCTTCAGATCATGGAATGTAGTACCTATTTGTTTTTAGTAAATAAAACTTATTTAATTCTTAAGATCCTTAGTAGAGTTAGAAATTAGTTACGTTTGAGGGAGGAGAGGACTTAAAGTTTTACAAGTCTTTAAGTGACCATCACATGAAAGCAAGCTTCTTTAAAAAGTTGAATGAGATTATTTATAAACAGTGATGCACCTGAATATGAAATATTATTAGAGAAGCATTATAGCATAGTGGTTTAAAAGGACTTTGTCTTTCAGAGTTCTAAGAATTTACAGATACATGAAATTTTGATATGGTAGAAAATTATATTTGTGGACACCCAGTGAGTGAGGAAGGTGCTAATCAGATTTTATACTGTAAAATTAGCTGACTAAAAAGAATTAATTTTAATTTTTAAAAATAAATTTTATTTAGCAATGTTGAATTAATTTAATTACTATAAGTTTGGAGTTAAGGTCTTTGTATTTTATAATTTTTTAAATGTAGATTTGCCCCATTCTTAGAATATCTGATATGATATGAAAATGTATATGTATAAAAGAGTCAATTATAAAAGCAGTATTTTATAGTACATTATCCTTTGTTTTTAAAATTATTCAATTTGTAAAAATCTAGTTGATTTTATAATTTTTAGAACATTTATTTTATGAAAGACGGGTATGGCTATATTATGGCTCAAGATGAAACTGAGGGTGCTGAGTTTCTGGCAAGTGCAAGTAATTGTTTTTGAACTTAGTACTTTGACTTTTCTTAGTAACTTACTCTGGAAACACAACCTAACTTTTCTATATCTATGTAGATGGTATATCAAAGCTATTTGTAAGTACCATAATATTATTACCCATGTTCGATTCTATAGTAACACTTAGTAAATCTGTTTCCCCTATCCTTCCTTTTTTGTGGTTTCTTTGTTTATAGGATCATCATGCCTAAAGTTCAGAACATAAAAAAGTCTCATAATCCTCAGATTTCTTGCTTAACAAATGAATACTATCAACAACTGGATTTTTTGCCTGAGAAACTAAGAACAAAACTGCTTCCATTCCAGAAAGATGGCATCACTTTTGCCCTTGGAAGACAGGGCAGGTAAAGTACTTTTTCAAAGTAAAAATATTATATTTTAGTTTTGGTAAAAATATTATATTCCTGCCAAGTGTAAAAAAAAAAACAAGCTGTGTTCAAACTATTTTTTTCAGGTACCCATAGTCTTTTTTTAATAAAATTGATTCTGAGTAAATTAGCTTCATCCATTTACTATGATTGACTTATACTCAGGTTGGAAGATACTAAACATATTCTAAACTCTAGAAGATATGTTTGACTGGATGTTGTGGTACCCCTGTAATGCCACTAACTTGGGGGGCTGAGGCAGGAGGATTGCAGTTTTGAGGCCAGCCTTCTCAAGTTCAAGGCCAACCTAGGCAACTTTCTGAGACCCTATCTCAAAATAAAAAATAAAATGAGTTGAAGATATAGCTCAGTGTTAAAGTACCCTGAATTCAATCCTTAGTACCTCAAAAAAAAGTATGTTTGGTTACCTTAACCCATTAAATCCCAAGTTTTTAATTCTGTATTTCAAAAAAATTGACACAGGTGCATTAAAATAAGTCAGAAATCATAATTTAGAGTTTATTATTATATTGATATTACAATTATAGTATAATATAGTTCTATGTGCAATTTTATATTTTACGTAGATATACATAAGTTTTTGTGTTCTACATGTCGGATGATGGGACAAAACAGGTTAATTATTTGAATTACTAGATATTCTCAGCATCACATATATTAACAGTTTTCTAGAATGTATTACTTTTTTATATTTACCTAGTCTTCATTACATTTTTGTTCATTTCATTTTTCATCTTAAATTAGCAACCTCTGCTTGTGTCTTGCTAGTACCTTATATTACTGCCTGTATTTCTTTACTTTTTTCAAACTTGAAAATAGGTGTATATCTCTTCCATAACATTGAGATATTGCATGGTTTTCTATTTTTTTAATATTTAGTTTTTTAGTTATAGGTAGATACAATATCTTTATTTTATTTTTATGTGGTGCTGAGGACCGAACCCAGTGCCTCAACATGCGAGGCGAGCATTCCCCCTCTGAGCCACAATTCCAGCCCCTGGTTTTCTATATTTTTAAGGATAGTATTGTCATAGTTCTATAGTCACATGTATTATATTCTTTCTTCTCTATATTTTATTCATTTATTTTTAATATGCATATTTCCTTTATTACATCACACGATCTTCAAGGAAAGAAACTTGTTTTTACTTTTATCTAGAACACCTAGACAAATAATTGGCCCTTTAATAATAACAAAAGGAAACAATTCTGACTGAAAACAAACTAGATTAAAAGTTTAGGGGTTAGGGTTATGGCTCAGTGGTAGAGGACTCACCTAGCACATGTGAGACACTGGCTTTAATCCTCAGCACCACATGAAAATAAAAAATAAAATAAAGCTAAAAAAAAAGTTTAAATGACTGTTATAAAAGCACATTTTACTCTATAGCCTGATATAACATGTACCTTTTAAACTATAAGAAAAATGAAAATCTATGACATACACACAACTGGGCCAGCTGATTATCACTTCCCCAGCTGCCACTAATAATTGAAGGATCTGCAAAGAGAGAAGGAAACCATAAGCTTAATTTAAATTATTTCCACTGGGAGTCAAAATCTTTGACCCTTCCAAAATTAATGCTAATTAGCATAGCATCTATTACTATAATGTGTACTCATGTTCACAAAGTGCTTTGTAAGTATATTATATAATCTTCCCAGGAACTCCAGAGATAAATATCATCATTTTCTTTTGGAATGTATAAAAGCTCAGAACACTTTTACACTAAAAAATTATTGAGGACCTCTAGGACATTTATTTATATAGATTATGTCTACAAATAATCATTGCATCACAAAAAACCCCAAAAAGTTACTTATTGCATTTAAAATAACCATTTGCTCATTTTATGTGAATGTATTTTATAAAACTAATTCTTTTGCCAACAAATATGTTTTGAGAAGACTTCCATTATTTTATATTTTGGTTAGTTTCTTTAATGATTGACTTGGAAGACTGATAGAGTCTCATTGATTTTGCTTTCAATCTTTTTTCAGAGTTTTAATGAAGCCTTTGGGAAACTCTGCTCACAGAGGTTTCAGAGGTTCAGTCCATGGTCAGCCAAGTCCCTAACTCTGGGCCCTAGTAAGGAATAACATTTTGGCTGAAGGGTACAGCAGAGAAAACCAGATCAGGACATAATAACCAGGAAGCAGAGCTGTCCCCAATATTTATGATGAAAATTTTAAACATTAAGCAATGTTGAAAGAACGTTAAGAGTAAACATTTGGGGCTGGGGCTGTAGCTCAGTGGCAAAGGGCTTTGCCTGGCATATGTGAGGCACTGTTCAATGCTTAGCACCGCATAAAGATAAACAAATAAAATAAAGGCAGGCTGTCCATACAAAACTACCAAAACTACTTTTTTAAAAAAGTGTAGACATTTGGTAGACCATTTATCTATTACTTTATCTTTTTCTCAAATCAGTTCATTTTTTTTTCATTTTATTTGTCT